TATAACTTTCTCGGCACCAAAGTATAAAGTATGATATTCCATGACATGAGAAACCACCTATAATATGCTACTTTCTCCCCATCTCCACAAGGACAGAGCAAAAGGTAAGATCACCCAATGTTGTTTATGTTAACCGAGTTAAATGAAATAGAAATGCCCTATAATAATTCACAAATATAATTGTAAACAAAATTTTATATATTTTTTTAATAAAATACAAATTTAAGTTATACATTATATATCCTATTTTAAATATAATAAACAAATTTCGATAAAAAATAATCTCTGCGTTACAATTATTACATTACGAATCTCAATATTATATTTTCCGCATAACTTGTTTCCAAGACAAACAAACCCTAAAAGTTACTACGAATTCGTGCAAGAGTTTAGTCAAATTATTAATTACTGTATTATACTTTATGGTTACATTTTAGCTCATCATAAATTAATTTATGTTTATCAAAAATAACTTATTTAATCAATTTTTTATTAACTTTTTTAATCATAATTAGCAGTTCCAGCTCTATATAAAGGCCAGGATTGGTACAATTCAGTCAATACTCATTGAAGAAATATAAAATTGCAAATCATTTGTAAGTGAATTCTGAGAAAATATATATGGCTAAGTCTAATTGGGATATAAAACAGAACCATCTTAGTAGAATATAGCACAACTCCTAAGAAACTGATGAAACTAACTAAACACTTCCACCAAACGGGCCGAATTATTTATATTCGTCAGCCACAAAAATTTATAAAATTTGTATATTTTTGTATATTGTTGTAGGCACCTTGCTTGAAACGGTGTCATGTGATACCACTTCGTCGAATTATTTCGTATGTATAAATAATAATTAAATTAAAATATTGGGTATAAATATAAAAAATGACACTGCTTGTTATAATAATTTATTCATTTGTTCCTTTTTCAAATATTGACATCGCTTAAGAAAATTCATGTGTATGCCACTATATATATATATATATATATTTTTCTGCTATTAATTTGAGAGTGTCATTTTCCCAACCTTTTAATTATAGTAAAACAGGTAAAAGTTTGCATTAATAGGTCGCCTGTTATTTCGGCGACCTACCTTTTTAAATTTTTTACTATTAACTTGCTCTTTAGGCTTCATATCTACCATATTTCACGTTCAGGTATTATGTGTTTTATGTTTTTTTTTGTTTAATAGGAAAACACTTAATACTGTTTATACCTACGCTGAAGACCTATTTGATTTAGATTATTTCACATGTTTAATCAAATATTTGTTTACATTAATTAATTTTATTAATCAAACTTAGATATTTTGGTTACCCAAAACTTAATCGTAAGAGTAATGTACTATTCCAGAAAAGAAATATGTAAGAAGAGTAATGTGCTAGTATTCCCTTTGTTTCAATTTATATGAACCTATTATTTATTATTTGGGTAGTCAAACAAGATTTTCTTTGAACATATTTTTGTGCAAATACTTTTTAAATATTTTGAATTATTAACACTTGTGCATTATAATATTTTTATGTAGTTTCTAAATAGCAGGGGCGGCTCTAAGGCTTTGGGCAGTGAGACCATTGCCTTAGGCCCCCAAATTTTGAAGGCCCCAAATTTATTTTAAATTCTTATTATTATTGTTACTATTATATATTATATAATTTATATAAATAATTAGAATAAAAAAAGTGTTACAGTATATTTTTTGTTACTTGATTGAGGTTATTTTATACAATAAATTTATAAATTATGATAATTTTTTTCAAAGGTAACTGAGCGATGAAGATCTCTAGTTACTTTAGAGACTGATATGGCACAAATAGCACACTCTTCACTACTTGTCCCTTAGAAATTATGCAATCACCTATATGTGATACCAAATTCACTTGACCATTAGGCATATACACCTTCCTACAGCTTCGGGATTCAAGTCTTTTAATATTTTGTAACATGCTTAAGTCTGATATCATATGGTTAGTTACCCCAGTGTCTATGATCCATTCTTTTCTAGCTGTATTGGCCTTAAATGATTGCATCATAACTGCCATGTTAGCCATTGTGTTCTGTGGAACATCTTTGTTCAACATCATCATGATCTGATTGTATTGATCAGCTGTGAACTGTGGTGGCCTAGGAAGCTCACTCATATGTCCCTTGTGTGTTGCTTCAATCCTTCATGCATTAGACCCTACAATATTATGGTTGTAATTCTCAGCATTCATATTGTAAGCAGTATTAGCATTGGCTCCTAGTCCTCTTTTCTTGTACTTGAAATCAGTAGGATACCCTATTACTTTATAACATGTCTCCTTAGTATGTCCCTTCATCTTGCAGAAATCACGATGAAAATTTCAATTTTTCTTTGGTCTATGATTTTGCCAACTAAGAGTGCTTTCTTATCATAGTAGATACGGCCGTAAAGAAAAAAAATCACTACTAGAAAACTATGAAAAATCGTTCAGGAATACTGACTGAAATCGGTCGGAAAACTGAAAAAATCGACTGATTTTCAATCGACTTTAATCCGTCAAAATAAGGCTAGTCGGTAATAAATAGCGACCAAAGTCGATCGTAATTTCCAACCGATCTCAGTAGGTTAATTAAATTTCACAAACGACCAAAACAGAAAAATATGCCGAAAAAACCAACCAAATTCGGTCAGTATTTTAATTATGTAATTAAAAAATACACCGTCTGAGAATCGAATCGGGGTCTGTACCGTGGCAGGATGCTATTCTACTACTAGACCATTGGTACATTTGGGTTTAAGACTTTATTTTATTTTATTTGTACTCTTTAGTTGCATTTTTTAAATCAGTTGCTTTTTTTAAATTGACCGATCGATTTCGGTCGATTTTTTGAATATTAATTTTAATTTATTTTACATGAAAAATCGACCAAAGTTGGTTAGTTTTCTTAAAAAATAAATTTCGCGGGATGCCAAAATAGTTTCCTGCATTTTTTTTTGCCAAAAATAAAACAGACCGAAGTTGGTCGGTTTCGTAAAAAAAAAAATAAAAAAAAAATATTTTGAAAAAAAACTGGCCAACCGACCGAGACGCGGACGATTTTTGCCGAATTTCTAATAGTAATTTTTTTTTTCTAGGCCCTTCAAACTCCTCATCGAAAGATTTATTCGAACTCAAGATCCTGTCGGAGCTTTGGCCCCCGACTCACAATATAGCCTTGGAGTCATCAATGATAAATGGGATATTGGCAATGAAAAATACCAATAGGGGTGTCTATTGGGCAAAAGTAAAGCATTACCCCTGATACATCTTGCATGCATATAAAATGAAAATCAATATATCCAATTTGAATCGAACTCAATGGATCCGTCGTTACTGCCGAGAGGAGAAGAATAGGTAGGATTATATTAATCCCCTTTTATTTTGATTCTCTATATACAGATGAAAGAATGTAAAAATCAGTGGTATCTTAGAAAAGCATAATAAGGGGCAAAAATATGTTAGTTTTCTAAACCTATTGACACCTTTAAACGGTGAAGGAGGAAATATTTAATCATTAGCTGGTAGTTCACAATTCTAGCTATTTTCTTTTACTTAATTAATGTTAATTTTGAAAGACAACTTCTTCAATGTGATCTCAACTATATCAAACGTTACTTACTTTTTGATACAACACTGCCTTCTCATTATATCAATCATGCTCAAGTACACCTTAGATATTAAAGAAAGCGATCACCATAAATATAATCCATCGCCGTATAAGTTTTTCGTACCTAACTTAGGTTAGTAACGAGCTTATACTGGGGCACTGAAATAGGACTAAGCCTTTAAGTATGCAGATGAATATTTGTTGTTAGCCTCAATCCTTCGATTTCCGGATTGGAATAAGGAGTTTCATGTTCATACCGACATATTACTCTACGCCATTAGACGTATGTTGTCGCAATAAGGGTCACTTGATCACTCCATCTACTTAAAAGTATACTACTTTCCTCTTGGAAATTATAAAAACATCGAACTTAACTGACCTCGAAGTACGTGTGGATCCACACGAGGATCATGTTCGTTGGAATACTTGAATAGATTTGTAATTACATTTGGGAAGTATCTGGGATGTTAAAACACAAGGGAAGTTGAAAAGGGGACAAATGAGGAGCAATTTGAGCAAGAACAACTCCCAGGTTAATTTTTACACTAACAGCTTGTTTGGATTGTTGTTACATGTCGTTTCATAATGTATCCATATCGTATTGTATTGTACTGTATTGTATTGTTTGATAAATACAACGTTTGGATAGATTGTATCGTTTGTCGTCGTTTCATGATGTCATGCACCAACAATATGAAGAATAAACTTGCAACATTACTAAGAAAAATAGGATAAATAGTAAAATACATATATAAAAAAGTAAGGTAAAGAATAAAATATGATTATTTAATAATAAGGAAGGGCAGGATGAAAGAAAAAGGTAAGGAAACGACGCCACCACTCCAAAATTTGAGAAGATCTAGAGTAGATTTTGGTAGTGAAATTAGGTTCTGTTGGGGACAATCAGTTTTGTTGGATTGATGAGTCCAGAGGGTATTTTGGATTAAGACGAAATTTTCAAACTATAATTCTCAAATCATCAAAATCCAAAATAACTTGTTTTCAATGTCAATTCAAATGATTCTGAGAACAAGTGGTCAAATCAATTATGATTTGCTTTTGTATTTTATATCTGAATATGTTTGAATGAATAGATTTCATATTTGTTAGCTCTAGCATTTGACTAGAGTTTTTTCAAAATTTTCAGGGATTATATGTTAGTGTTTAAATTAATTATCCCTAGTTTTAGAGAACTTATTTGTCTGAAAAAAACACAAATTTTGGAGTATTTGGAACTCATATACCCAGCCTCAACTGGATTGAGATTGAGGTGTAGTTATCGTAATCGCCTTCAGAAAGTTACCATTAGTCATGTCAATTTTTGTTGACCGGCAATTTTTGTGCCAAGATTATTTGAAGTTTATGGATTTTGAAATTGTCGACGGAACCCATAACTCGTCTTAGTTACATATTTATATATATTTAATAAATTTTTTAATACAAATACAGTGTTTAAACAAAAATGACTGGCCGAACCCGCACCTAATAGGCTAGCTCCGCCTCTGCGCTGTGAGATGAAACATGCCTCCATCTTTATCTAGAGATTAACAACGTGAGTGAGATCCTCAGAAGAGTCAAGTGTAGATTCAGAATTTGTTGTATCCTTTGGTTCTTCCTCTGGTTTCTCATTCTGCAATGTCAAATCCATCTCAGCTTTCATCTTATTTTCTGCAATTTTGTTTTGAAGAAATTCAATAAGACTTTGAAGAGATATATTTGGATTCGTGCTTTTTAACAGTTCTCCTGCAACTTCTGCAGGAGTAACCTCCACTGCTTCTAAGAGTTGTCCAATCTTATCAAACAATTTATGTTCCTGAATCCTCAAGTAATTGAAAACCAGTTGCTTGAAAGAGGATAACTTGCAATATGACATGTAAATGTGCATATCCATTCTACCCGGCCGGAGCAATGCTGCATCTAGTTTATCTATGTGATTGGTAGTGACAACGATTATCCGTTCCTCTCCACAACACGACCAAATCCCGTCAAGAAAATTAAGTATTCCCGACAGTGTCACCTGGCGAAAACAGAAGCAACATATGTATAAAGAGTATGAGTTTGAGGTAAGAAAATATGTAATATGAGCTGCAAAATGAACTATAGTCAAACCTCTTTATAATAGTCTCATTTGTTTTGAATAATTTTTTGGCTGTTATAGCAAAGTGCTGTTATAGAGAACATAAAACGAAAAATTGGTTCCAAAGAAAATTTGGCTGCTATAGTAAAGTATTGTTATAAAGGATGACTATTATACAGAAGTTTGACTATAGTATCGATTTATTTATAATCAAACCTCTCTATAATAGTCTCGTTTGGCTGTTATAGCAAAGTGTTGTTATAGAAAACATAGTATTGATTTAGGTACTCACCCTATTGTGCTTATTTTCCTTTTCTTCCTCCTTTTCTCTGTTTTCTAGCTTGATACTGCAGTCAATGTCCTCGATCACAAGTATGGAACGACCAGACATGCCAAGTAACAACGACCTTAGATTTGAATTGCTACGAACTTCTGTAAGATCCAAATCGTAGATATCATAGTTCAAATGATTCGCCATAGCAGCAATCAAACTCGATTTACCAGTTCCAGGAGGACCATATAACAAATAGCCTCGTTTCCAAGCTTTCCCAATCCGGTTGTAGTACTCTTTCCCCTTAACAAAACTGGCCAAGTCATCAATTAGCACGTTCTTGATCTCTTCCTCCATAGCCAGAGTGTCAAATGTCATAGGATGTTCAAGATTCATACCATCAGAACCCCAGTTTCTGAAATTTGAATACAATTTTATAGCCCTGGATTCTTCTTTCGTTGCCTTTGATCTTTCCATAATGTAAGGCAAATACGATTTCATTACCATTTCCTTGTGTTTCTTGTGAAAACTCAGCTCATAACATCTAAGTTCAGAACTTAATGCAGCAATCATATCTTTTATCTCGTCGTTCTGGCTACCTGACTCGATACGTCTACACTCCATTCTCCATGTTACCTTAATATTCTCAAAAACATCGATTATCTCTTCGTCTTTGTCCATTGTAATGACAAGATTCTTGTCATTCTCAGTCTTCCCTAATCGAATACTTTTAGCTGAAGAGTTCGCTATGGTTCCTAAATAAACTTCTACTGCCTCGAACACCAGGTTCGGGGATGGTCCTTGAAATTCATGGATAAGAACGGTGAATTGAGAAGAGAAACGACGAAAGATATCGGGGAAGCTGTCAAAAATGTAGCTTCGGAATTCTTTTGGAATGAAATCATTTGCTATGCTACGAACTAGCATTGCTGTAGCAGCAACAGAGGCAACAGTAGAGACAACAGCTTTAACATTAGCCATATCTAATTCAGGAGCCATTTTGTTTTTAGATTGAAGCAAATCTTTAGCTAAGGTAATATGAGAAATGAAAAGGGTTTCTTTACTTGAATAGCTTGTCCAAGAGTTGAAATATATATATAGTGGATGTCTACTTCATAGCTTGTGGAATTTTCAATAAAGTTAGAATAAATAATACATTAAAACAAGACTTGACGAAGACTAGGTAGTTTCTCGGAAGCAATCTTCCACCACCGACTTGGAAATTTAACATTTTAATATTAGCAAATTAAAATGACAAAGTCGGAATCCAAGGGGTATGATGTAGACAGTCTACTTTAATACAAACATTAATGGTTGTTTTCACGGTTCGAACTTGAAGTAGACTAGGTAGTTTCTGGGAAGCAATCATCCACCACCGACATGGAAACTTACCATTTTAATATTAGCGAGATTAAAGCATCTTGTATTCACTCAGGGTCCGGGGAAGAGCCACATCTCAAGCGGTGTAATGTAGACTGTCTGCCCTAATGCAAGCGTTAGTAACTGCTTCTACGACTTGATCTCGTGATTTATAGGTCATACGGAGACAACTGAAATTGTTTAATAGAAATAACCTAATCAGCATCAACATCAGCATCATAAGTCATCATTTTCATCATTATATTATATTAGTAAATTAGCAGGTTTTTGAACTTGATTTGCAAGTAACCTTCAATGTGGACTGTACATATTACATGTCAAGTTTGGTCAGATTCTCTTAGTCAGCAAATCGGGCTAAGTTGTAAAAGTAGTCAAATTTGACTGCCAAGAAAGAGCGTGTGTCCTTGTGTAATACGATTATATTTTTAACTCCCCAGTAATAACAGAAGAAGACATAATTGAACAGCAAAAATGTTGGAATTTTCCACGCTATTATTGGCTAAGGTATCTTTGGATCTATTTCACTCAGACACGGAGCATTGTTAAGAATGTGACGGTGAAATTTCTACATAGGCAATCTGTCAGGATTTTTGAAGAATTTGTACCAAAGACATATTGTGACCAATTACTTCTAAAATTATGACACAATTTGTACTAAAGTTTTGACAATCCGCAAGGATTTGTGGCATGACAAGTTAGCCCATTCATCAAACTTTGTGAGATTTGTTGCGAATATATATACATTTTGTACTAGTGTGCACATGAATTGTAGTATAGTAAAATATTTGAAAGATTCTAGCTTTATTGAATCAAAATTGTATATTTTTTGTATAAATTATATTATATGTTGTATATTTTTTGTATAGTGAGATATGTAGTTGTATATTGTTTTTTGCATAGTGATCGTATATAGTTTGGATATAATTTAATCACTTTAATTTCGGAAAAGCGGAGAAATAGTAATTATACAAGTGCTCCCAATTGTAGTGTTTTGTAAAATTTTAATTATTCATTAATCACTTACAGCACGTGCACATCTTGGACTCCTATAGGAAAAGGCACAAATCAATTTCTTGGCATTTTCTCTTTCAAAGTTTGAATTTAAATGATATATCAATGTGTATAAAAAGAATGTTATGTCCCAAATATGTATAATTATTGTGTGCACGACACTTGTCTCTTTTGTCCCTTCCTTGAGTTGACAAAAATAAATATTTATAACAAAATTTTTATTTTTTTTATCTCTCGTAAATATGTATAAAATATCAATATCTAAATAGCATAAAAGCCAAAAAAGAATCAAATGATGAATGATTCCTTCTGAAGAAATTAAAAGCCAAACTCAATAGTTTACCTTTTAATTCTACTGCCTTCATCTCCCGCTATTTTTTCATGTCAGTTAATTTATGGCCAACGGATGATATTAGTTTCTAGCGAATGGCTAGTAATGAATTTTGCTCAACGAGTTTTGACTAAATTTCTAGGTAGAAATGACATCAGGTAGCAGCTGTTATTTAAGAATTAGCCAGTGCGTCTTGATTTTTCATTTTTTTAATTCAATTTTTCAGGACAAAAACATCCTGAAGTTAAAATTTTTAGTTTAAAATTTCAAGACAAAATAAGTATTGGCTAAATTTTAAATAGCATCCCGAAAATGACTATCCGTACACTTGCCCCAATTTCAAGGGATGGGAATAGGCCCATCAAGTGAGTCTTTGATGAGATTGAACGTTGCATGTAAAATGTATTGTCAATTAAAACAAAAGATTAGATTTTTTTCGAATTTTGATGAACAATACTCAAAAATACACCAAATTTAACTTCCAAAAACAGGTTCATAAAAATGGATGTAAGAAACAACTTGATATTCCATTGAGCCAGCAATGAGATTACAGTTCATTTTGGTGCAAGTAAACCTCACTCAAATGGAGTCTTATTAGCTTTATCAAACATGAAATATAGGGTGGAACAACATACTTTCACCACCATAAAAAAACACAACAGAAATGAAAAACATCACCTATCATAAACCAGAATGATGCTTTTCGAGTATATAAAAATTAGAAAACACGAACTTCAGAATGAGTTTAACCGGTGTTCTGCAGTCCAGCAGCAATACCCTTCATTGTCAAGATGAGTGTGTCCTCCAAGCCGGGGGCATATTCACTTGTCGGGTTCAGCTGCACAAGTTCAGCAGCTGACTTCGATTCCATGTAATCCTTCGAAATATGAGGCCTTAGCGTGACATGATAGTTAGGATCACGTATACGCTTGAGAGTGTAGGCTTGCAACAAGTTTAAGGTTGTGATGTAGGAATCACGCAGCCTGAGTCGTTGTTTCAAGTAGGGGTCTCCCTCCAGAAGATCCTTGTGTCCAGCAATCTATTAAGAAACAACAGTTGGAGCAATCAGATAAAATAAGTGAAATAGATCAACAACAACAAACCCAGTGTAATCCCACAAGTGGGTTTGGGGAAGGTAGTGTGTATCCCCTACCCTGTGCAGGTAGAGAGGCTGTTTCCGATAGACCCTTGGCTCATGCCAACATAGTCATAGCATTAAATAAGTGAAATAGATCTTTTTTTTAAAAGGAAATAGTTACATTTTTCGGCCGCCCAAAAGAATAATAGCCGGCAAATGTATATTAAGTAAATATACATATAATATACATATATATACGTATCATATACATAATCGGTGTATATGTTTTGTATATTCGGGGTACCGCCTGTAAATAATTTGGGCCGCTGGCTAAAAATGAAAAGAGCCCTTTAAAAAATGTGTGATAAATACATTAAGTATAGATCCAGTTTCCTATTAACCAACTCATTCATGAAGAGTTACCTGGAGTAGGAGGCTCCTTGTCTCCTCGTAGTTGGACCTCAAAAGCTCGCCGAAAGGCAACAAATCTTCTGAAACGAGAAGCTTGTCATACAAAGCTGCAATACCGGGGTTTCCCTTGGCGAACACCATCTCAACCAAGTCAATAGTGACTCTAAAGAATGGCCATTCATTGTACATTTCGTGAAACATGCGAAGGTTTTTTATATCCTTGTCAATGGCATACTTAAATGCCGCCCCAAAGCCAAGCCAGACGGGGAGATGAAACCTAGTTTGCGTCCAGGCAAAGATCCATGGAATAGCTCTGAGTGATTCTATTCCTCCACTAGGTTTACGCTTTGATGGACGGCTTCCAATGTTCATTCGACCATACTCTAACTCAGGTGTGGCCAAGCGGAAGTACTCAACAAATCGAGGTTCTTTGAAAACTATTGACCTATACTTCTCTGTAGCAATAACCGCGATTTCATCCATAAGTGCACGCCATTCTGGTTTGGGAGAGACGGGTGGATGCATCCCATGTTCAAGGGTAGCAGCAGTGAAACGTTGGAGAGTCCTAAAACACAAGTGTTCCTCCCCAAACGATTGCTCGATAACTTCACCCTGAACTGTGACACGGAGAGATCCCTGAATTGTATCTGGTGGCTGAGACAATATAGCAAGATGGGTGGGGCCACCTCCTCTTCCTACTGTACCACCTCTACCGTGGAACATAGTTAGCTTCACACCATGTTCTTTGGCAACTTTTATAAGCTCCTCTTGAGCCTTATATAGCTGCCACGCTGCTGAGAAACGACCAGCATCCTTGCCAGAGTCTGAATACCCGACCATGACCTCTTGTTTACCGTTAATCCGGTTTCTGTACCACTCAATCGAAAAGAGACGTGCAACAGCCGCAGGAGCAGACTCCAGATCATCCAACTTTTCGAAAAGTGGAACCACTCGTAAAGGTTGCTTCACATGGCATTCACGCTGTAGGAGCTCAACTGCAAGCACGTCAGATGGTGCAGTGGCCATTGAGATGATATATGCCCCGAAGCAGTCAGATGGAAGTTCTGCTATGACATGGAGCGTATCCAAGACGTCAGCAATTTCTTCGGTTCTTGGAAGATCAGGTCCAAATAAAGGTCTCTTGCCGCTGAGTTCAGAAAGAAGCCACTCCTGTCTACGTTCTTCAGACCACTCTCGATATGAACCGATTTCCAAGTGCTGGGTAATGGCATCAAGGACGTCAGTGTGGCGGTCTGACTCTTGTCTTATGTCAAGTCTAACAAATGAGAGTCCAAAGGTAGAAACTTGTCTAAGAAAATCCAGAAGGCTTCCATCGGCAATGGGGCGATCACCACATTCACAAAGAGATCTGTAGCAGAGTTCAAGAGGTTCCAAGAACTGCATAAAATGTACAACCACATAAGCGTAATATTCAGCAGAAGGAATCATTTTATATCATAGATAGTGAAGAGATGAACATATTTTGGCCAACACATTCTCATATGTATTAGAGATTAGCAACTGTTCCCTGCTTAATATTAGAATGTTCTTCATATAAAAAGGGTGACAAGTATTATATACCTGCTCAACATTATTATAAGTTGCATCCTCAGGAATATCAGAGATTCCATGGGCTAACATTTGGCGAGTACGCTCACGTGTCTGATACAGCTTATCTCTCACATCGCCAAGAATTACACGGTATGGTTCACTTGGCGGAATTGTTTTCCAAAATTCTACACATCAAAAGGAAAAGTCGAAAAGTAGAATTATACAATTGCTCCATCCAACAGGGATTGACAGAGACTACTTGATGCAATTTCTGGAGAATAAACACTAACCAGAATATCAGA